CAGTGCAGCTTTTCTACACTTTATGGTAAATTACCATTCATAATTACTTTTATGAGGTGCAACATTTTGAGTATTTCCAGTGATTCTTTTTAGGCGGTGTGAGTGGCACAGCTTTCCTAACACTTACAGTGATTCTGATTCACAGTTTGTTTCTGCAGAAAGAAGCTGCCAGGCCACAGAGAGGTACAGGTCTAAGAAGACGATATGATGAGAAAAGAAAACTATGGGTGCCACTGTAAGATAAATATTAACATATATCATGGACCAGTGCTACAGAACTTTATTTTTCTTTTTCATAAAGACAGCTGTTCTAAAACAATCCAACTACGTATAACGAGCAGTAAAAAAAATCCACTTCCTAATCTAAACACCCATGGGCCTGCCACCTGTTGGACCACCATGCCTCTAAGATTACAAGACAAAGGACTCAATGCCAAAAAATTAAGAATAAAATTTGTTTTTAAAAATTGAGTTGTTCCTGTTGTCCCATTATGGAAGGTAGTTCTGAATCCCCGATACACAAGACCTTGGTAATGGATAGGCTGGGGATGCAGCTGATATCATGGATTATGTGAGCTGGCCTCTGAAGACACGAGTCAAGGTATTGGGGCTGCGGTGAGGCAGTGCCAAAATCAATAGCTCATTACATGGTGCAGTCAGGCCACGCCACCAAGGTAAGGCCAGCAGTTCACAGTGGGGATTACTGGTGTGATTGTCAGGGTGATAGAGAGGCGCTCTGACTCTGGAGAGAAGGACCGGGCCAATGCTGGGGACACGAGGAGGGAAGATGATGCTTCTAATGTACCAATTTCATTCCTCTGAGGACCCAAGATTCACCAAATGCAGCTCTATTTAAAGCAGTGGGATGGCTTTTTTGTGAAATAAACAAAACATGTAATCTATAATTTGCAATTATGCTTAATATATATAATCTTTTTCCTGTTTTTATAGTTTGGCAGGACAGAGGTAATCGATAACACTCGAAATCCAGACTTTGTTAGGAAATTTGTTCTGGACTTCTTCTTTGAAGAGAAACAAAATTTGAGGTTTGACGTGTGAGTAGTCTGACTTTTTATAAATCTGTGTTTTTAAAGATGTCAGTTTAAATTGGCTACAGACATTTTGTTGTACAGTGTGATGACATTCGGATAATAATAAAGGTAAAAAATAAATGTGTTTTCGGATGTTTTTCTGACAGGTACAATGTGGACTCTCGAAGCTGTAACATATCCAAACACGTAAGTACAGTTTGAAGTAACAACTTTCATCAATGCATCTAATTACTGTAATGGAATAGAGAGTATTTTTGTCCCTGCAGAACAAAATAAAGATGGCACCCAAAATAAAAATAAAAACAAAGCAATACATTAAAAAATACAAAAAATTGAAAAGAAAGTGCAGACATATCCTACATTAAATTTGCAGACTGATGCTTAAGCGCCCCTGACATCAAATTTTTGTAATAAACATGAATGTATTTTTGGAAAGACAATATTGATAACATATTGTAAAAAATACTTCACGTCACTAAGATGAACAGTTGTTGAGATATTTGCATGTGATGTAACAGGAAGTGATGTCAAAGAGGAATGTCTGCATGTGAACAGAGCGTTGCTACAAAGGCCGACAGACTGTAGAGACCAATCTGATGTTTCTTTAGATTATTTTAATCACTATCATAGAGGGATGAGAAAGAGTCATACTTCAAATAATAATGTTTAAATAAACAAAAACCAGGGAATTTTTTTTCTCAAATACTCCCCCTTTGATGTCACTTCCTGTTTCACTTTAGCTGAACTAAGTTCAACAGAAAACATGCCAATTATGTGACATAATGGGTAAAATCGTGTATTATGTCAAGTTTCTTAAACATAAATGTACAGTGGTTTGCAAAAGTATTCATACCCCTTGAACTTTTCCATATTTTGTCACATTACAACCACAGACATAAATATATTT